ACCTGATAAGATATTATCAGTAGAGGATGGTGATTTAGGGCGTCGTTATCCAAGGCGTGATCGCCGTCCAGTTGATCGATATGGTTGGACCGCAAAGATTTTATATCCGATCTCTGCTTATGTTTCTTATGGTAATCTGTCTCCCACATTTCGAGCTTATACTATGGCCTTATCAGATACGCTGGTTCCTCGTATGCGGGAGCCCCAGTGGGTTCTTGCCATGCAGACAGAGATGGACGCTCTTCAGCGTAATCATACATGGGATCTTGTCTCCTTACCTTCAGGGGTGAAGCCTGTTGGCTGTCGCTGGGTTTACACCCTGAAGTTTCTTGCGGATGGTACTATTGATCGTTACAAGGCTAGACTTGTGGCGAAGGGCTTTACTCAGGTACTAGGTCGTGATTTTGGTGCTACATTTGCCCCCGTGGCAAAATTGACTACTGTTCGGTTAATTATTTCTCTGGCTGCGGAGTACTCTTGGCCTCTTCATCAATTAGATGTGAAGAATGCGTTTCTTCACGGTGATCTGGACGAGATTATTTATATGGATGCACCACCGGGCTTTCGTGGTGAGGGGGAGTATGCTGGAAAGGTATGTCGACTGCGTAAGTCTCTTTATGGACTGAAACAGTCGCCACGAGCCTGGTTCTCTCGCTTCAGTGATGTAGTCATACGATTGGGGTTCACCAGGTGTCATTCTGATCATACCTGCTTTATTCGACGGAATACTTCTGGACAGTGTGTCATCCTTCTGGTATATGTTGATGATATTATTATTACTGGTGATGATGTTTCTGGGACTGCGCAGGTCAAGATAGACCTTGGGAAGGCCTTCGATGTGAAGGATCTTGGATTTCTGCGATACTTTCTTGGGATTGAGGTTGCCCGTAGAAGCAGAGGTATTGTTCTTTCTCAGAGAAAGTATGTTTTGGATCTTCTTTCAGACACTGGGATGTTGGGGTGCAAACCGGCATTATCACCTATGATTCCAAACATGAAGCTTACTGCTGAAGGTGAGGAGTTGAAAGATCCGACAATTTATCAAAGATTGGTAGGTAGACTTATCTACTTAGCTAATACTAGGCCGGACATTTCATTCGCAGTCAGCCGAGTTAGTCAGTTCATGCATAGGCCATGTCAGCCTCATCTTGATGCAGTTTATCATATTCTTCGGTACCTCAAGTCTTGTCCTGGACTTGGGTTGTTTTATGCATCAGGATCTCAGACCGGTTCTCTAGCCTGTTATTCAGATTCAGATTATGGGGGAGCATGTGATGGTCGATCTACTACGGGTTTCTGTGCTTTTCGAGGGACTCATCTTATCTCTTGGAAGAGCAAGAAGCAGGCAGTTGTCTCCCGCTCGTCCGCAGAGGCAGAGTATCGGGCATTGGCACTTGGCACATGTGAGATTATCTGGCTACGATCGATTCTTGACGAGTTGGGTTTTTCAGTGACCTCTCCATCCACATTATATTGTGATAATCAATCTGCTATTCAGCTCGCTTCTGACTCTGTACTACATGAGAGAACGAAGCATATAGAGATCGATGTTCACTTTCTTCGGGAGAAGGTCAGCAGTGGTCTTGTTATTCCATCGTTTGTGGGGACCAGTGATCAAGTTGCGGATGTTTTTACCAAACCTGTCACTCTGTCTATTCTTCGGGACTCCGTTGTCAAGCTTGGCTTAGTTGACATTTTTGCGCCTAGCTTGAGGGGGAGTGTTGGAGTATAGATAGTCTAGGTTTATTAGGATTTCTTTTCCCTTTTTTACCCTTACTATGATTTTTATATTTTGCCTAAACTACAAGGATGTTTAAGTCACTCTGTATTATTTTTGGATATATATACGGGGTTCTACTCTTAATTTGAGTATCTCCTTTTACTCACAATTATTTCAAGTGTATCAAATAATTAATCAAATATTTATCATTGTTGGATATTTGTCAGATATACCTCAGATACGTGTAGCTCCACGATAGATACATTCTCATTATAATTGGTGAGGTGGGTTGTATAGGAAACATCAATCACAAAAATGTGGATTCTTTGTTCTAAGATGTTTATATGGATGTGCATCACATATGTTACAAAATTTGTCAATTCTTTACAATTTGTTTAGTCTAACTAGTGAGTTATTATAACTTATGGAAAAGATAATAAAGTCTATTGCAATTAAATGCTAAATGAAAGTAAGGAGTGACACATGTTTGGTTTCAGAAATGCATAAAATATTGGATTCAAAACACCATTAAGCAGTCCCTCTGTCAGCAACAAAAATTATTATAGTTTGGACGTGTTTTATCTCTTAATCCCTCATATTCCTAACATCCTAAATATTTTAATAACATCCTATATATATATACTAGCAACAATCCCGTATCTGAAGACACTCCGCAATACCAAAAATCAAACATTGGTCGTACAGTATTTATATTTTAAATAACAATTTAGTTATTTTTTTCTAGAATCATGCAATTTAAAATTAAAATGAACATAGAGAAAATCAGAGGTAGGTAGAGGAAAAAGAAGAATGAGGTAGGTGTAGATTAATGCGTTTCTTTGGCACAGGGGTTGGTGCAAAAAAGTTGATATTTTTTGAGCAGGGGAAAAAAAATTGGGATGAATTTTGCACCATTGGATCAAAGTAAATGTAATTGGATCATTTTTACCGTTATTATACTTTATAAGTTGAGAATTCAACTTCCTATCTAAAATATTAGATAGATAGATAGATATGCGTATCCATATACTATTTTTTAATATTTTGTTGTATTGCCTTGTCTCGCACCCATATCCCATATCAGTATTCGTGCTTCCTAGATAGCTAGAAATTTGTTTCAATTTGGCAAGCTCACTTAAACAAATCAGAGGAACGGTTTCATGCCCTTTGAAGTTATTAACCATGTCCAATTCTTTCTCCCATATTAACTTGACTAATTCAGCTAATAAGTTCCAGAAACATTATTATCAAGGTTTACTATAACTTTACACAATACAGGTGGAAATAATAAAAGAATCACGTTTAGAGTGTTCAGATACCCAAGTCACTCTTTACATCAACATAGAAAGAGATGCGTTCAATTTTGGGAGGAACCCTAGCCAGATGCTTCAAAGCAAGCTATTGGTTTTGTCAATCTCACCAGTGGCTTGGGCTTCATAAATGTGCCATCAACTAAATTTGCTACGCTCTTCTATCATTATTGTAACATTTTGGATCCTCCAGTTGTTTTTGATACTTTAAGATTTTCTTTCTATTTTTTCTTTATAAACGCAAACTACATTCCAGATAGGTTGCCACATTCAAAAGATTTCATATTTAAGAATCGTCTATGATTGTGTTCGTAAAAGAAAAGGTGAGAGAGACTAGCTTGACTCTCATTGTTCGTGACACATAGGATCATGGACAATGTACTCTTATAAAACTGCTAGGCACTGGGGACCATTAATCAGATGATGTTTGGGCTCAGAGATATCGACCGGTGAAGGGACAGCAGACTGAATCATCATTTGCTTCACATGATTGATCTGCTACCATCTTAAGATGGACTACTATGATAAATTAGAATAAATAGAAATTAAGAACCGTCCTTGATTATGTTCATAAAAGAAAAAGTAAGAGAGACCAACTTGATAACTCATTGTATGTGAATTGATGTATATCAGAGACAATATACTCTTATACAACTACTAGATACTTGGGACCATCAATCAATTAATTTTGGGGGGCCAGCGAAATTAACAGGGTAAGGGACAGCGGACTGAGATCATCATTTGCTCCACTTGACTGATCTATTAGAGTCTTAAGATGGGCTACTTTGACAAATAACTCATCACTTTTTAAGAATCCTTTTGTCACATCACTTCTTCCTACATATTTGTGTGTGCGTGTATCATTGATTCTTCCTATATGTACATTTACATATATAATATATACGTGCGTGTGTGTGTGTGTGCACGCGCTCGCGTCCTTATATACGCTATTGATAATTATATGATACTTAGTCGTAAGTCTGAAACCTTATGACACCAGTAACCATTTGTGGCATTGTGACGGAGAAATGAAACACCCACGAAAACATGCCTAACTCTAATTGACCCTAACAGTTAACCCATCTTACAACGTCACATGGGCTTGCGAATGGTCTTGGGTTTAAGAAAATTAATTCTTAGCACAATCTCAACTAAACCTGATAAAGTCTCATGCCACATAAGGCAAGAAGTAGACACAAAATTATGGAAAGAATGAAATGGCAATGTTGTAACATACCAAAATTAAATGCTAATTGAAAACTCGGCCACTAGCCAAGGCAATTTTAAGAACGCTGTAAAACTTTATATGATACGACCTCAAGAATAGCCTTGAGTTTACAAGCATTAATTCCTAGCACAATCTAAGCTATTAGAGTTCTTATTTTTATTTTTATGAGCATAAACTAGTGTAGCGTAACATTGTAATTACCCAAGATATTTGTTCAATATAAATAAGAGGCTATATGACAACATAGCCTACACATAGATTATTTCTCTCTCTCTCCCCCCTAAACCCTAATCTTAAGTTTACTTTTTAACTTCGTATCAATGCAATTAGTTGTTAATAAGTATATACCTTAAGGGGTATACAAGTCTTTCCTCTTTCTTTGCAATACATATATATATATATATAGATAGATAGTTAGGGAGACATGAGATATGGAGTTGCTCACAGCCTCCTTTTCTATTGTTCTCTCTCCAAACCCTAGTTTCTTCATTGACATGGTCTCAGAGCCAAGTTGAATTCTCTGCCTCTAAGCTTGCTCTTCCTTCTCTTTCATTTTCTATCTCTTTAATTCTCCTTCCTTTTTTTTTTTCTTTTCCTCTCTGTGCTGCCGTTCATCACAGATCACTCTCTACATGTGCATGTACATGTGAGGGTCCTTGGATCCTAATTGTTGAGTTGAAATCAATGGCAAGTTATTAAGTGTCCCAGTCACAGTCATTGTTCTTGTCATTCATTGCCAAAGATGATTTGTGGGTGTCATTGGCTCGCCTCGCCTGTAATCAACGATTCATCGAGTTCGGTTGGGTCTCAATTTCCTGGGTGTGGACTTTGGTTTGCAAATCAATGCTTGGAGTTGTGCTCTTTGTGGTGGTGATCTAGTTGTTGCCAATGACAAACTGTGAACAGGCTTAGTCCCTTGTGAAGAAGACAACCATTGTTGGGTGGATTCGGCCCTTAGCTTAGCCATCCTCTTTGTGGATATCCCAGTTCCCATTATATTGATAGAGCTTTCTTTTGGGTCTAGTCGAATTTTGTTTTTTTGTTTTTTTTTGTGGGCTCTTGCTTGTTTGGCTCCAGACATACGAGGCCCAGTCAACACAAGCCCAATCTGGAAGGGCCAGCTCAGAACATGACTCCAACAGTCGGTCCACTACGGACGGTTCACACAATGTCCTTAGGCCGGTAAAGACTGATTCGTCGGGTTTAGCACCTTATCGTTCCAGTTCAGGCCCACAGTTTCGGTTCATCCTCTATCCGTCCAACACAACTTCGGTTCTGGTCTTCCCAACCTTAACCAACCCCGATTTAGCTTCTGGACCACTCTGCCAGTCTAGTTCAGGCCTTCCTACACTTGTTCTGCTCCAATTCTGTCTTGCTTACAGTTCTGCTTTCTTTTCTATGGGCATGGACTCTAAAACTGATTCTCCAGCACCTCTTTCACAAACTTCTTCAACCTAACTACCAAGCTATTCTACTGCCCCCCCCCCTTCTTTTATGCTCTGATGACCTCAGTTAAACATAATGGCAGTAATTATATTCTTTGGGCTTGGTCGATTGATGTTTTTCTTAAAGGCAAAGGACTACGTACACATTTAGTGGAAGCCAAACCAAAAGAAACTGATTCAACTTTTGCATAATGGGACCAGGCGACAAATTATTTCACTCATGTTAAATAGTATTGTGCCTCATATTAGTTCTATCCAACTTTATCTCAACATTGCCAAGGAAATATGGGATTAACCCACTCATATGTATTATGGTACTGGGAATCTTACTCGAATTTATGAGGTGTGCAATCAGTATTTTAATCTTGAGCAGGGAACTTTGACTCTCAATATATTTCTCCAAGGTTTTGGGGACTAGTAGAGAACTTCAAATGTATCAACCTATTACATCTGACATTTCTCACATGACGCAGTAGCGTGACGATCTTGATGTTGTTCGGTTTTTAGTTGGGTTAAAACCCATGTATGAACCTATCCGTGCACAGATTTTGGGGAGTCCTACACTTCCCTCTATCTCAAATGTATTTTCACAACTTCAGTGAGCTATCCTATCCGACTATAGCTCTTCTCCTAGTACTGAGTATAGTGGTGATCGTTCTACTCTAGTTGCCTCTCAGGGCGGGGTTACTGGCTCTCGTGGAAGTCATGGTGGTAGAGGACATGGAAATCATGGTGATTCTAGTGGCTCTTGTGGTGTATGTGGTGATAAAGAAGGTTACAAATGTATTCATTGTGGTCGTAATAATCATATTGTGGATAACCGTTGCGACTTGAATGGTAAATAATTTATCTTTTTGTTGATTTGCATCTACCTTGTCATCCATGGTAGTTCCTAGTTCTTTGACATAAGCATTAGCATCTCCCAGATGAAAACTGACTATGAATGAGGAAATTAACTCTCTTCATGAGAATTAGACTTGAGATCTCATTTCTCTCCCTCCAGGGAAATAGTTTATTAGTTGTCATTGGATCTACACTATAAAATATCATCTTGCTGGCTCTGTCGATCGTTTAAAGGCCTGGTTGGTTGCAAAAGGCTACACCCAGATATACGGTGTCAATTATTGTGAGACATTTTTCCCTGTTGCTCGACCCAACTTTGTTAGAGTTTTTATTTTAGTCGCAGCTTGTCTTGATTGGCCTTTGTACCAGCTGGACATAAAGAAAATCTTTTTACATAGAGATATATAGGAGGATGTATACATGGTTCAACCTCTAGGTCATGTTACTTCTGGTTAAGTAACAATTAGTATGTCACTTGAAGAAAGCAATATATGGTCTGAACCAGTCATCACGTGCTTAGTTTGATAAGTTTAGTACTGTGGTCATTCAGTATGACTTTCAGCACTCTACTTCAAATCATTCAGTGTTCATTCCTTGTTCTACCAGAGGAGCTATAATTCTTATAATTTATGTTGATGACATAATCATTATTGGTGATAATTTTAATGGTATTGTTAACTTTAAGGTTCATCTAAGAGAAACAGTTTCATACTAAAGATCTAGGACTTCTTCAGTTTTTTGTTGGAATTAAAGTTGCTTGGTCAAAGAAGGTATTAATCTATATGCCAACAAAAGTATGTATTGGATTTATTATCTGAAACTGGTACTTTTAATACTCATCCAGCCTCAATGGATTTTACAGTCAAGTGAGATGCTGAGAGTGGGAAAGTCTTTGATGACATAGACACTATCAAAGGTTGGTAGGTAATCTAATCTATCTCACAGTTACGCATCCTGATATTACATTTGCAATTGGTGTGATTAGTCGGTTTATGCAAACTTCTCGCAAGCCTCGTTGGGAGGCTGTCGGTCGAATTCTTTGATATCTTGAAGGAGCACCCGAGAAGGGATTATTATATCGGTCTACATCATGTATGACCTTTATTGGCTTTTCTGGTGTTGATTGGGCAGGTAATCGTATTTATAGATGATCTACTTTCGATTATTGCACGTTTGTTGGTGATTTTCTTGTTACTTGGCATAGCAAAAAATAAAATCTACTTGCACTTTTAAGTGCAGAAGCGAAATATCAGGTTATGGGTCACAATGCATGTCATGATATTACATTTGCAATTGGTGTGATTATTAGTTTATGCATGCTCCTCGCAAGCTTCATTGAAAGGCTGTCACTCAAATTCTTTGGTATCTTAAAGGAGCACCCAAGAAGGAATTCTTATATCGGTTTTCATCATGTATGACCATTACTGGCTTTTCTAGTGTTGATTGGCCAAGTAATCATATTGATAGACGATTTACTTCTGGATATTGCACTCGTTGGTGGTAACCTTGTTACTTGGCGTAGCAAAAAATAAAATCTAGGTACATTTTTAAATAGAGAAGCGAAAGATCGGGCTATGGCTCACACTGCATGTTAAATGTTGTGGATGCATTCTCTACTTCTTGATATGGGTATTAATGTACCCTCTCCTATACAAATGCATTGTGATAATCAAACAGCTACTTTCATTGCCAGCAATCCACTATTTCACAAGTACACTAAACACATCGAAGTGAATTGTTATTTTATTTGGGATCTTCTTATGTGAAAAAGATTATCATTCTATATATCAAGTCTAGAGATTAGCTAGGTGATATCTTTACCAAACCATTGTCTCGGTCTACCTTCAATAATTTTTGTCCTAAGCTGGGCATTTTTATCTCAAGCGGACAGCTTGAGAGGGAGTGTTAGAGATCTTATTTTTATGTTTATATTTATGTTTATGAACATAAGTTAATGTAGGGTAATATTGTAATTACCCGAGATAATTGTTCAATATAAATAAGAATATGTAAGGCAACACAACCTACATATAGATTATTTTCTCGATCTCTCTTTCGTCTTCCTCCTTTCTCTCTATATCCTAAACCCTAATTTTAAGTTTACTTTTTAACTTCAGCTACACCGAACAAAATATCTTTCCCACAAAAGGCACGAAGTAGACCGAAAATTGTGGAAGGAATAACATGGCAACGTTGTAACATATGGAAATTAAAAAACTCAATCACTAGCCAGGGAACACCGGTCAAAGAAACTTGATATAGTTCCTTGCTTAAATGAGCAAAAGACAAAATAACGGGCCAAACACATCATCTAAAACCTCAGGTACAACAACCATGCAACTAAAAAGTGATAGGGCATCCCAACGAGACTCCCCAACTACAAAGTCTGAGGAGAGTCAAATGTCTACAACCTTGGCCCAACTTGTTGAGAGACTATTTTATGATTAAAACTCATGATGCCCAATTCACAACTGGAAAGTGATATGTTCCCAAGTTTAAATCTTTATTTCAACTTTGTTTTTTTAGAAAAATTATTATTCATGCGATTATTTCACTTTCCAGCAAGGTCTGGTGTTTTGATAGGGTGTTCCTTTCTTTATTTTAAAAGGGTCAATATTGAGAAATACACATAAAGCATTATACTCTCCTTTTTAAGAGCAAAAGAATGTCTTTTTTTTAAAAGGCTAATCATTGAAATGATTTACTGGACGATCACACACCCAAGTTGCCAAGTCTCTTCTTTTTGTACTCTCATAATACTAATTCAAACTTTAGCATATGATGCATCGAAATCGTATTGGTATCTTCCAGTGAAGAAGCTGCTTCAAAATTAAAAATTATAAGCCTCAATAGTTTGGAAACTGAATGCATGAAAACAGCAAGGCTGTAAAATAATGTGGTGAAGAACCGAAATAAAACACCCAGCAGTGACAATTTAATTATTAATGGGCCAGTTTGAGAGGAATTTCCACATACAACACAGCTGTACATATTTTGAGAATATAAATTGAGTCGTCAATTTCGAATTTTGAAGTTCTTTGAGTTAGAGTGTTCATGAATATCAAACTTCAACTGAAAAGACCAGTGCAAGACAAATTGAGCCCCAAATTTTACAAAGACAGAGAAGGGACTGACAATCTCCACTGAAGTATGAAAAATTGCAGCACAAACTTGAGGATAACATTGATTTCAAGGGGGTGGAGTAAGAAGGTAACAACATCCAAAAATATTTCTCATAATATTGTAGATCTATTTGAGACTTCTATACGTTTCCAACAAAGTTTGCCATTTTGTAAGGGCAAGTAGCATTTCTTTATTTAAGAAACTAAACTGTAAGAGGTCTACGTAAGGCATTCACTTTTTATTAGCAAGAAAAATGACAGTGGTGACTATAGGTGGACAACCACCTGCCCAACTGATCAACCCCTCTCTCCCCCTATATTCCCCCTGCCGAGCCCCCCACCCCCAAAACAAAAAAAACTCAACCTAAAACCTCCTCTGCTTTCATTCTTTTAAGTCAAAACTTAACTAAAACTTGCCAAGATGGCATTTGTTTGTCTTGGAGAAACACAGATTTTGGTAAAGGCTACACCTATTGACATATTTTAGAAAATGCATTGAGATTCAAGACTATCAGTTCAAAATTAACGAATGACAGAAACATAACAAAATTGTAATTGGTTCAAGGAAAGATGCTGTTGTGCTTAGGCTCGAATAGAAAAAATTTGTCTTTAATGGCTTTTCACTGAAAACTTTATGAACAAACAAATTATAGAAATACAGTTACCCAACTGAATAAGCTAGTGGCAAGCTGATCTTTTACACAAAAAAAAATTGAACATTACAAGCAGAATGGCAATCATCATTTAGTTACAATGTCTATAGACAGATTAATCATAGTTTTGAAAATTAATATATTCAGTAAAAGCCAAACCCCAAAAATGTTGGAGCAAAGCCTTGTTGAGTTGTAGTATAGACGCCTTTCATATCTTAATTCTTCTTATATGAAATTTCTACTAGCCAAAACAAAGAAATAACCTATGGTAAGTAAGAAACCATATATTAGGAACCTCAGGATATTTAATCCTAGAAGGTTTCAACCCCAATATGTGTCGTACGTTAAGAGTTTCTCATGCAGGCATAATGAACATGGACTTACATAGCACTGTAAACATAATAAGCTTGTATGCTAAAAAGCATATCGCAGTACCTCACACAATGTTTCGCTAAACAAAAGATTTAACAGAATGGATAGAGTCAGCCATGTGAATAAGCTACTAACAAGATGATACTTTAAAACAAATTGAAGATTAGCAGCAGAATGGCAATCAGCATCCAGTTATAGATGGACTAATTAATCATAATTTTGGGCAATTAAGATATTTCTTAAGTTTCGCAAGTTTCTTCTCCCTGTGACCAAGAAGTGACCTATGGCAAGTAAGAAACCATCATTGAGGAACCTCTGGATGTTTATACCTGATGTTTTATGCATGAGTTTATTATGCAGAAATAAAGAGCATACACTTAGCCTCAGAAAAGTAATAAGCTCGTGCAAAAGGCAACTGGATGTACCTCACTCAATGTTTCGCTAGCATGTGGAGCATATGCTTCCCTGTAAGAGACAGCTTTCCTTTGGCGCTTCCCACGACCAAGAGCTGCTTCCACCTCATTTTGATATTTCTCCCATCTACAAGCCCCAAGAAAGTAAAATGTCAAATGAAACAACGTAAGGAAAACCTTTTAGAAATCATTAACCACTAACTACAACTCCCCAATGAGGTACTCAATAGAATATGAATCCATGGTATAGATATGTATTGCAGCCCGAAATTGGTTATATTTTCTGAATTAAGAATAAAATTTAGTTTGCCATTAAAAGAGAACCCACTCGCTTACAACAGTTGCATCTACAATATTGCTATGATTATCTTCTTCTTTTTTTGATAAAAGAAGAATTTTATTATAAAAAAGAATCAGGATACAAAATACAATGTTGAGGACATGGTACCCACAAATAAGAATAAAACCAAAATAGATATCAAAGAAGTCATTAATGAAAAAAACCTAAAGTAGAACTGCCTTTCAATTCCATTGGAGATCCATCAAAGGCAAACCTCCAAAGCTTCATGTGGTTTTGGTCCAAAGTGAAGCCATGAAAACAATTCTTTCTCATACTAATTCAGAAGAAAGATAGCAATTATTGAAAATTTTTGCATTTTTCTCCATCAAAATACACCAAAGAATTGTCAAGAACACATAATTCCATGGTATCTTCGCTTCTTTTTAATTTCCAAAATCCAAACTTAATTTGCACCATCTTTTCCACTATAGAAGGACAATCCCAAACCTCACCGATGGCCTCGAACAAAGTATTCCACAGACCCCTTACAAATGAACACAAAATGAATAAATGAGCATTCCACTCTCCATTACTAAGAAAATTAAGACAAAGCTCAAAGCTTTATAGGGTCTCCACATCTATAATAAATCATTAAGAGTTCACCATATTAAGGACAACCACCCAAACAAAAATCTTGATTTTTTAAAGGACTTTGGCTTTCCAAATAAATTTCGTTAAAGAGAAGGACTCATTGTTCCAAGGGCAATGGGAAAAAGAAGGGTGAAAATTATGGAGAATGTAAAGTAAAGAAGTCAAATCAACTACTTCCTGATCCTGGAGATGTCTAAAGAAATGAAAATTCCAAGAATAAGTGTCAGTCTCCAAAACAAGAAAAGAAGATATAAGAGTCTCATGCAATGAGGGCAAACGATAAAGGTGGAGAAAACTATTATTAAAAGAAGAGTCTCCAACCCATGTATCCTCCCAAAATATAACTTTAGAATTATCTCCAACTTTATATCAAGTCAAATGAAAAAAAGAAGGATAAATCTGTTAAACGTATTTCCAAGCACTCATACAGATTACATAATGCCCCTGATTTAGTATCTCACCTGTTCCTTTGAAGGCCATACTTACTCCAGAATCTTGATTGCCCTGATTACCCTTATGCCAAAGGGAGTTAGGTTCTAAGTTCCAACAATAATCTCAACAACCATTTACCTACGGGAAAATGTGTTTAGACACTAAAATATCAATTCTCAAATCCTCCTTTGTCAATAGACTTACAAACTGTATTCCAACACACTAAATGATCCCGTTTGTCATCTCCCATCTCAGAACAAAGAAAATCCTTTATTATCTTCTCTAATTTCCTAACTATTGCTACACAGACATAGACAAATAGTATAAATGGATGCTATACAAACAAGCTTTGCCAAAGTGAATCTTCCTTCAAGAGAAAAATATGCCCTCATTGAATCATTCAATCTTTTGTTCATCCTTCAACTACTAGATCCCAAAAAGACAATGATCTTGAGTTTTCTCCCAATGGTAAGCTAGATAAACCATAGGTCATTTATGAATAGCATAACCTGCCTCCGAAACAAAATCTTTGACAACCTCCTCCTTTACTTTTGAATTTATTAACTCTCAAACTTGAGAATTTGCAAAAGATTTTAATCACAGAAAGAACATTCAAAAAATACTCTCTTTTATTTGATAGGAAAAAAATGTCATCAGCAAACTACAAATGTGACAATTACACCCTCACCACCCACTCTCATCCCCCCTATCAAAGCTACATCCTCGGCTCTACTAATCATCCTACTCAAGAGATCAACCACCAATGTGAAAATAAAAGGAGATAAATGCTCTCTTGCCTTAAATCCCTCAAAGCATTGAACCACTATCTAGGCTCTTCATTCACTAACACTGAGATAGTAGAAGAGGAGAAACATTCCCTTATCCACTTTCTCCACCTCTCACCAACAAAAACTCTTTTTTTTCAATACATCATCTACAAAGTTCCAATTCACCCAATCGTAAGTTTTCTAAAAATCAAGTTTAAACACAACTCTCTTTTTCCTTCTTTTCACAACATCCTTCACCACTTCATTTGCCACTAAAGTTGGATCTAAAATTTGTCTTCCTTAAACAAAAGCACTTTGAGCCATGGTTATTGTGTCTCCAAAAACATCACCAAGTCCTCTAGACAACCCTTTAGTGATAATTTTATACAAACTAGTCACCAAACTAATAAGCCTATAATTCTTAACTTTATTTGATGATCGATCTTTTTTGGGGACCAATGCAATAAAGGTACCTCTTCCCACAATCCCACTAGCAAAAAAACTCATTGAATACACACATAAAATTACCCTAGACAATATCCCAATTATTCTAGTAGAAACTCATAGTGAAACCATCAAGACTAGGGGCCTTCCCTTATCAATGTCAAACACAACTCTTCTAAACTCCTCCTACTCAAAAAGGTCTCTTAATCCAACTTGCTTTGTCAAACTCCAATCAAAACACCTTCAATAGTAGCCCTTACTTTCAATAGTAGCACTTAATGGAACATCCTCGGTAAATAGGCCTTCATAAAATTTTGTAACCACTTTAGCAATCAACAATGAATCTATGACAACATCACCCATCTCAATTTCTAATTCTCTACTGATACGCTTTCTCCTCCTACTAGCTACCATTTTATGGAAATAAAATTATTATTACAACTACCTTTTTTGACCTATTTAAATCTCGTCGTTTGCCTCCAACTAGTCTCCTTCCTAACTAACACTTCCTCTACCTCATTTCTTAAGAGAACCGTTTTCCTGAGTTGTTTATATATTAGTGTATCATTTTCCTCCAACCTAACTTTTTTTTTTTTTTTTTTTTTTTTGGGGAGGGGGGGAGGCCAAAGCAAAGGGGGACTTGAAAATGGACTTCCTAAATTTTACCTCTCAAAAAACCTCTTTATTCCACACTTTCAAATTTTCTTTCACTCCACTCAACTTTTTCATAAATTTGAAACCCTCCCACCCTTCTATGTCATAGCTCGACCACCACTCTTACACCTATCCTTGAAAGAATGATGAGTTAACTACATATTCTAGAACCTAAAAGATGTGGGCCCCCATTTAATTGGATTGGACTCAAGAGCAACGGGGAAATGGTCAAGACACCACTTTAGGCATAACCTTCTATAGCACATTTGGAAAAACTTCACATTCATTAAAAAAAAAAAAAAAAGGAATCCATCTATCCATGTTGCAATAGGATTACACGCTAGACAAAGGAATATCCCTCAATCCACACTTAAATATAAAAGTGTCAAAGCTCCTCATACTTTTTGTCACCCTAAAACCCCCCAACTTCTCGTTAAAGTTCCTAATGATGTTAAAACCTCCCCTTATGCACAACCTAGGGATACACAAGCCAAAAAGTTATATAACTCATCCCAAAACAAAGATCTAGTTCTACGACGATTTGGACCATACACAGAAGTAATCCACCATTCCTGATTCCCCTATACCCTTAAAGTCAAGTAGAACCGTTACAGAAAAGGATCCAAGAACACAATCTATCCTAGTAACAAATCTCGTATCCCATATCACAACAGTACCCCCATAAACCCACATGATGGTAGAAAAACTTAATCCCTAAATCCAAACCCCTTTTACCATCTCTAATTTTGTCTGCTGAAGCATAATTAAATTTGGAAAAGCTCTTGTAATCACTTCGTTAAACATCTTCCTCTTCCTCTAACTCCCACCCTCACATTCCAATTAATCAACATCATCACCCCACCTATCATAGTTAATCTCGCATTGCAGATTCTTCAACTCTCTCTCACCCTTCTTTCTTCTCCTACTATATACTATAGGTGACATTCCCACTCTGATTGTTATGATTATCTTTCTATAAGCCTTTTTTTCGAGCTCTTACAATGTGGTTCACTTGCTTTCTCCTCTTTGGGGGGTTTTGAGGCAACCCTCTTTTTCCTATTTCCTTTTTGCATTTTTTTTTTTTTTTGGGGGTGGGGGGGGTGTATCAGGTGTGCATGAGTTGCCAGCTTCTACATGGTTTTGTACAGCAATTGAACTTGGTTATACCTGACCTGACCAAAAGAAGAACAGAAATATAAATTTGTACACAAAACAGAAAGGCTAACCAGTTTGACAGCTAATGGATTCCAATCACATACATAATCTTAAATTTTGAATACTCCCAGATGCAGGGGGTGAAGTCGCAAATTATAGACACCATAGATACCACACATCATTACTTCTATAATTCATGAACAAGCATCCAGGATGCTACATTCTGATCTTCACAGTGATCGACATAATATATAGACAATGGAAACTTCAGAGAAAGCTACAGAGATAGAAAGACTATGAGTACTTTTCAGCACCCTTAGATTCAAAATTTCAGGAATGCCCCTTCATATTTCGAGAGGCTCTTAGAGAAGTATTTATAAATCTTAGATCACCTATTTGTTTTAGTTTCCTTGTTGATCTGTTTGACCACCTAGTTAAAATGCATCATTTGGATAATTCTCGCTTGTCTGAAACATACACAGCTCAGTTAAAGGACCGAGTTATCCCCCTAAGGCCCCAATCACGTGTGGTGCTTTTGTTAAGATGCACATATCTTATATTTGAAAGGTATGGAGTATGCTCTGAAGTGGAAGCCTGACAGAAGTGGCAAAATTTGTGCAAGGATGTCTTCTACGAGCCAAATGCGTTTCCAGATGCTTTCTAATTCGGTCCACAGATCTCAAAGCCAACATGATTATCCGATATATCGGTCGTCAAGATAGAAAATTCTCAATTGATGTTCTATTCATAAAGCAGCAAAGGAGACTATCAACCACATGTTAATGCACTGTTGTGTTGGCTAAGGACCTTTGGTGTATGCTTCTCAGCCTCTTTGGCATGTTCCGAGTCATGCCAGGCGAAATTATTGACTACTTGAATGTTGACAAAGGGTTGTGTCAGGAAAAAGTGTCAGTCAGGTCTTGAAAGCAACTCCCTTGTATCTAATTTGGTGTGTGATAAGCAAAGGAATGGGCATCCTTTTCAGGCTCTGGAGATGCAAGTCTGAATGCTGGAAAAATTGTTGGTGTATCATTTCCACTTTTGGCAAGAGAAGTTCAATGGATTTTATATTCTTTTTACTGTATTGGTGTTTTAAGGTCTTAAATGGCACGATTTTTGTATGCTTCTGTACCAAGGCGTGTGAACAAGGTCTGCTCCCTCCGGGCAGTTTTTTGGCAGTAATCATTGTGACCTATCATTAGATAACTAAATGAATAGAGTAAGATTTCTTCATTTCTTAATGTTTCCCCTCACTAGAAATTTCCTTTTGCATCTGCTTAAACACTTAAAACATTATTGTCTGAAAAAGTGACTGCAAAAACAATCATACCTCACTCGCAGAAGCTTATCCCACTCATTTTCTTCAATACCAACAACTGAATTTTCCTCTTTCTTTTCTTGATTTGCACATGTATCATCAATCACCACAGGAAGTGATTCAGTTCCCCCTTGTTCTTCTGTCGGTTCATCATTCCATTCCAAGGACTGGAAAGGAACGATGGCGGAAAAGATTAGGAACAAGAAACAACAACAAACCAGATGTTAGATTGGCCCTGCAATGTCCCGTAAATTCAAAACCCTTGGACTACATCTACTAGACAAAATCAAAAAACACAGGATTGATACGCATGTAACTAAAAAAAATGCATTATAAGGACTGAGAAAATACAAAGTTTCTTCACACATTGAAAAAATTAGAGCTAAACAGTCTGTCATCAGAAAAAGTTCAAACACAAAAAATAGAAGAAAGGAAAATGGGAGAGTTAAATAAAAAAATTAAACAAAAAAAAGTCAAACATTGTTCACAGTCACTAAGGTCATTATTTTTTCTTTTTCTTTTTTTTCTTTTTAATTTTTTTTTTTTTTGGGGGGGAGTTCGTATAGAGAGGGGGAAAAGAGAGGAGGGCTCATGAGGTGGATTTATCAGTTTTGGCCAATCAATGTGCATCTCAGCCAACAATCAGACGCAAAAACAGAGGGGGAAAAAGAACGCACACGTTCAAGGTCGTGCTCCACGAAATTCCGTTCTGCAAGATGGATCTTGATTAACAACTGATTCCAAAAATCTGCCTGTTCTTTTCTTTTTTTTTTTTTTTTTTTTTTTTTTTTAGCAGGCCCCAGGCACAATAGATCACTTGAAAACTTGGGTGATGCACTTATAACTGTAAAACATACGAAGACTGTCTCCACCCCACACCCCCAAAAAAGGAAAAATATATATGTAAATGAAAGTAGGTAGAGGATATAGAAACAAAGTAGCGACAATACTAGGATGGGTGACCCCTGGGAAGTCCTCGTGTTGCACCCCTTTTAAAAAAAAAAAAGTAGCGACAATACAGTATTACCAGTTTGATAATTAGGAATAAATATGAACATGCAGAAACCACCTCAGAACTAGTCTTGTCATGGCATGCTTTTCTTGCTAAATTTGCTGCTTTTTGGCCCATCCATGCAGTGGTAACTGGTAAGAAGACAAATACACTTTCAATCTCACTCAAAGATGCGTAGACGAGATCCTGATGTGGCTTTAACAATTCTAGGGACGGTGCAGGATGACAGGCTAGACACAAATAAAAAAGACAGAAAAAATCAGTAAAATTACAGAAAGTCTATAAAGATCAAAGTGATAGGTCAATCCACAACTTGGAGATGGTGTAACACAGTGATAGGTTGATTTATTCCCAATTGGCTCTGGTGGATGGAAGGGTACTGTTAATGGCTTTGGTGAGCATTACGAGGGAATGAATTGAAGGCACTAGCCATCTTTGACAATATAGAAAAGAGATGCACAGTTGTGGAGGAAGGAATTTAACAAAAGAGATAACAAAACCATTCTAACTAGAAGGGGAAGGATGGGAGAGAGCTCCTCTCTCTAGAACTAAAGAGAGAAAGCTCTCCCCCAGTCTTTCATGGAAAACTTCTCTTCCCTTTCCTCGGTCTCTCCCAACCATCATATTTTCTAAACATCTAACCCTCCATTTTAAGCATCTTGACCCATTCGGGAAGAGTCTTTGTGGAGATTCAGGTCCTTCCACTTCTTAGTTTAGGTAGTAGCTTCCGTTGAGTATCTCTTCATTTTGGGTTGAGCTTCAAGAGAGAGGGAGAGAGAGAGAATGGAAACTTTGTTGGTGTTCACTGCTAGAAGCTATTTCCTGGCAGAAATGGCTTTAGCTAGTCACAGCCATGCTGTTAGTGGGGGCTTATTAATGTGATGAAAACAAATGAATACCAAAATGCTTGATCTACAGAAATGGAGCCTAACAATGGTTCGGATATAGATTGATATGGTTGAGTTGTGGATTTTGATTGTTACTTCAGAGATTAGAGCCCCTTTTTTTTGGGGGGGGTCGGAAAGATTAGAGTTGAAAACCTGAAGAATCTGAAGTTTTTTGGAGGAGCTGGCTGCAAAAGCTTATAAGTGGTGCATGTGTTTCCACTATATCTTTTGAAGCTCCGTGATGACTTCCATGGTGAATGGTTGACGTCGTCATCAGCAAAATACCTCCAGAGTTCGGGATGATCAGTGTAAACCAGAAGAAGAGGTTGAAGGCACGTAAATTTTATGCATCTGTACGCGTAAGTTGAATTGCAAAAGAGGAAAGACAGAAAAGCTGCTGGCTCTGCCAGGCAAAGCTGTTGCATGCACATCAACATTTGCCCTTTCCTTATTCTCCTTTTTCACGTGATGGTGCAGTGGCTTGGGATGAGATGACTTCTTATCCAGTTGCCCCATTTTGTTATTTTTTTTTTGGGTTACTTTAGGGCTTTAGGGCCTCAACAGCAAAGTTGAAAATTGTTGTGATTTTAGTTTTTTTGTGTTTTATTTTGTTGTAACCCACGTCCATTCTTTCTAAACTGTTGCCCAGTGTTTGGGTTTGTATGAGTTATCATATCATACCTTTCTTTTTTCTGGAATAAAATTATCTACCTACCAAAAAAAACAAAATTAACAGAAGAGAAGAGGTTCAAGGGTCAAGTGACGGCATGGAGAGGAAATTGAAACAGTTGAAGTTCTTGGTGAACTATGATAGTATGTCCAAGAAGAGGGGAGAAGGGGATAGGGTAAACGGTGTCCAATGAAGCTGTTAAATTCAATGTTACCTGGATCGTTGGTCGTTTTGATACATAGTAAGGGTGCGGATACATAATACGACACTTTTTTAGATACGCAGTACGATAAAAGTAGATTTAGCTGGTACGGTATTATGAGTAGCAATTTGTTTTAGAACTCGTATGTAGACCGTTTTTACCATTGTACAACATTATATATTAAAGAACATTTATAAATACTAAGTCAGTTACCATTTATTTTATAGTTGTGTTTAATTTTCTATTATCTAAAACAATATATAATTATAAATCTATATACATGTAGTCAATTAATATATATTTTATATTCATATTACATGTTCTAAAGCGAATTGATTTGGAATTAATATCACAATTTGGGATCACTCATTTTGTTGATCTAGATAGCGAACCCACTCCGTTTGCGATCGATGTACCCAGATCGTGGATCGTCAAGGGTCGAGTAAATTGTGGTAACCATGGTTAGAATATATAGATATTTATTTAGGAATGACATCCTTGAAATAAGTATATCCCTTAAGGGGTATATAGGTCTTTTCCATTCTTTACAATACATATATATATGTGGGCAAGGGAGACGTTAGTGATTATTCTCTCTGCCTCCTCCTTCATTCTCTCCAAATCCTAGTCTCTCTATTTACACAGTATCAGAGCAAGGTTAACAACAAGAGACACCCCTTTCGGCCCTTCTTGCCTCTTTACTTTTCTTTCCTTTTCTTTTTCTTCTTTAGATTGATATCTGCTTGGGTGTGAGGATCCTTGGGTCCTGCGTTTTTTGAGCTTTTAATGGCTGGGTGTTGAGTTTCCTAGCCACAATTACTGTTCATTGCCGGAGAAGCCTCACCAGAGCTGTTGGATCGTCGTTGGTATTACAATTGAAGACCCATTGTGGTTTCAATTAGGGTTCAATTTGCTTCGATGTGGAGTTCCAGCTGTATTTGGTGTTTGGAATCTACTTTTCTGTGTGACAGATGCCTGGATTATTGCGGGTAGCGACCGTGGTGCGGTGAGCGTGAATAGCAGTCGGTTTGTGTTCAGTTTGTGTAAGGAAGACAATCCTGTTTTGCAAAACAGGGTTATCTTTCCTCTCCCCCTGGTTTGGATATCGACGTTTTGGGTATCATATTCTAGCAGGCTAGGCTTGTTCAGTTAAGCCCAGTCCAGACCAGCAGCCCACAGTCCAGCCCAGCAATCCACAGTCCAGAACAGCAGCCCAGACCAGCCTAGCCTCAACTCCGGTCCACTCAGGTAAGGTCCAGTCCCGGTTCAGGCACATACATATCCAGTTCAGCCCTTTCCGGTCCGGTTTATTGTCTGGACCTAAATGTCAACCTGGTTCAAGCCTTCTTCAGCACCGGTTCAAGCCTTTCAAGCCATTTTCTTCACTGATTCAGGCAGTTTCACGCCATTCCAGCCCGGTTCAGGCAATTCCAGCCCTCTCCTGCATCGGTTCAGCCCTTCACTACATCCGATTTTGCCACTTTCTTATCCACATGCTATCGTCCTGCTTTCATATGTCCAAGACACCGGGTTGGATTGGGGAAACATCCGAGCAATTGCCTTCGTGGATCCAAACGTGCTCGCAAGGCACACAATAAGAATAAGACCAATACAGACTTCACAAGAGACTATTTGAGCTACAGATCGTAGTGCTCCTAGAGAGGTAGATTTCGAATATAGAGAAATGAAAGTTCCCAAAAATCAACGACTTTTTCATATCCAAATTATGAGCACATTCTCTGTCACCCACCCCCGCGCTTAGGACTCTATACCCCAAAGAATGATGAAGGGCAAAAAAGGGCCACCTATTATTTAAGCCGCATGATAGTGGGTGCAGAGAACAAATACTCGCCTATCGAGAAGATGTGTCTCACACTTATATTCTCAATCAAAAAACTCAGGCATTATTTCTCGGCATAAATTAAACTATGCTCATATCCAAAGCAAACCCCATATCCAGTCTCTTTTGAATTCCACTAGTAGGCGGGTCCAAAGCACTTTGAACCAAGAAGAAGTGTAACTCGCACTGATCTCGTATTTCATTCCATTTTAGATTTTTTATGTAAAATGTAAAAGCATCGATAATGTTTAAAGAGATTCAAGACTAGAAGTTGCTTGACTTGGATGGAGAGAACGGATAAAGGTCGCCCTTTTTGGTCTTATGGCCCACCCTAAGTGCTTTAGGTAGAAAAAGTAGTTCAGTTCCAAGAAAAAGAATAAATAGCCCCCCAAATAGCTTCTAATTTCCAAGAATGGGTAGAGAGTCGGGGAGAAAGTTTTTTCTCAGTTGCATTTATGTTTATAGGGGGCTGAGAGTGAGCCATCACACCCTTAAAAAATGTTTTAACCAAGTGTGAAAAAAAAGATACTTGACTCTCCTTCTGCTCTGCTAAAAGTATTAAGAAAAAGGAGTAGTCAGTATATGTTGGACTTTTCACCTTAAAGGAAAATGGCACTAGCTGGGTTATCCGTATCTCTAAAGGGCAAAGAAACCACAGGCCAACTCGGGTATCAACTAGCTTGGTTTGTTGACACCGGACTCCTTTGGTAAAATGGCTATAGAAGGATGCCGTTGAGAGGGCAATCTATGGAGGAGAGTGATTGATAGTTGATTTGGTTGTGATCAATAACGTCAAATTTCTAGGAAGGTGAGATTATCTCAAAGGTGAGGCTTTACCCTAAATTGGAGAAGTTTAAAAGTAGATAAGCACAACGGAAAAAGCAAAACTTACCGAGAGACGGTAAATTGACCTAACAAGCCTTCCAATATAACTTGAGTTCTTATTCTCCATTCTGCCCTCATTGAAGAAGAGACTTAAAAAACTCTAGGAGACTTCTATTGGAAAAGCAATTAGAAATTGAAATCATTTAGAGGATTCAAAGAGGCGTGCAACCCCAATGCAATAGAGACGGGTATTAAAAAGATTGATTTGTTCACATTAGGCTTAGGTTGACTAACTAGCTATAAGGATGCCATTGAGGAGGGCAATCTATGGAGGAAAGTGAGTAATAGTCAATTGAATTGGGATCAATAAGGTTGGATTTCTACAGAGGTGACACTATCCCAAGGGTGGGTTGTGGAAATTTATTAAGCGAGGTCAGCAACTCTCCCAGCATTGCTAGTAAGTTCTAGGTTTTGGTTTAAGTGTTGAGGGCCAATACTCTCTTCCCCAAGATCTTAAGATAGCTGAGGCTTAGGACACATCGGGCACAAACTACAGAACTACCTACGTTGGCAGGTAGAGAGCTAAGGAACCCTAAATTTAGGAGAAGCTTTCTGAGTTAAAGATGATCGATGTCTTCTTAAATCGGCTTAAGGAGACAAAAATCTCAAAATGACTAGAGGACACATGAATATGGGAGGATGATAGACTTAAAGTGTTCAAGTGAAGCCATATTATGGGAGGACTCTAATCCTTTGCCCTCCCCTTTCTTCTCCAAAATTTTTCGTTTTTCATACATTAATGAATATGTAGTTGTGAATGTATGTATGTGTGTGTGTATATATATATATATATATATTCATGACAATAGAGAGTTGCAAAAAGAGGGAGAAATTGAAATTGACCAAGGTGTTCTTGATAATATAATCTATAAGCATCTTGAAGTTAGAAAGCAACCATATGGAGCTATATAAGTCCAAACTGAGGCAATTATGAGTAGTTTCCAAAGATTTTCTTGCAATAGCCTAATACATCGGAGCTGCAACATCCATCAAGGTTTATGGTACGGAGTGGCTCATTCCAAATTTCTATCATAAATGGAATATTTGTATTTGCACGTGGCAAATTTAGAAGAGCATCCATCTATTTTATTGGATAGGGATACGTTAAAGTTCTTACACTTTTAGGGATACGTTAAAGTTCTTACATTTTTAGTAATGAAGGGTAGTATTGTAATTCTCACATAATATCTACATACAGATTGTTCTCATTCTCTTTCTCTCCGTCAATCATCTTCTCTCTTTTTCTTGCATATTTTACGTTTCAACTTGATATCAGAGCAATAATGAGACTAGATAAATATCAAAAATACATCATAGATAAACTCAAGATCATCTTTGTTGTTGACGTTATTTGTCAAAGGGTGACATTCAGCATTATGCCAGCAACTTCCGACCACCAGAGCCTTTCATCTGGACCGAAATTTCATGAAGAATATTGAGGTGATTTTTGTTTATTTTTCTAAAGTCATCTAGTGAGAGTCTTCTGATTTCAAATATTTTTTGAGAAAATAGGGCCTAATTTCTAGATCTGCCCGTTTGTGACTCTTTCGTGGAATTCATTGCTTGGATCTACCTTTATGGGTTCCAATTAGGCCTTGGGAGGAGCTACCCAAGTTTCCCAGTTGTATTTGATGGCTCTGGACAAGGTTTTCTACCTAAGGGGTGCCAACTGTGTTGTTTTCTGGACTTAGCAAACTGCAAATGGTTCCCTTCTGGTTTGAGCAGGCTGTGAGCAAGCCTTCCTTTGCTGCCTGTGTGTGTTATGCCTCCTAGGTTGTCTCTCCAATTGGTGTTTGGGTTGTTTCTGCCTCCTGGGTTGTTCGTATGAGACCTACAGGTGTGCTTACCCTTCCTATGCTGGTTTGAGGCAATATTATTATTGAGGGTGATTTTGGGTCTTGGGCACTGTTCTGGCACATTAGGAGTTGATTGATTGTGCTGGGTCTCCCTTCCTTGCTTATGATGAGGGTTTTTTGATTGTAACTTGAGGAGTTGTAATTTTTTTGTGAGGAAGAATTTGTGTGCTATTGTCCCACTTTTTCTTAGTGTATTGTTTGTTTGCCTTATTTTTGACTTCGGGTTTGTGGGTTCTTTGTTGTGGTTGGGAATCGTGGTGGGCTCGCTTCGGCACCCTAACTTGCTAAGTTCGGTTTTTATTTATTCGTTCAAATCTAGTTGTCAATTGAATTCATGAATCCTCCAGCTCAGTTTTGGGTATTCTAGTCTTTTCTACATTAGTTTGTGTGATTGCAGACTCTAGATGGGTTATATAATCAATTGTGGATTTCTTGATGACAACTTTGACTATAGTGATGGTGGTGTTCGCCGTGGCAGCCCTGAGCCATTCCCCAATGTCAATCATAGTGGTCTGTGTACTAAAAGTAGTGGATGTGGTTGTTGGTCTTCTCGTGGTCATTGATCTAAGTGGAAGTGTACTTATTGTGGTGGCACAAGACACTGATAATTATTGTTATCATATGCTAATCAGGCTTCTCATGATACTTTGGGTTCTGTAGTACCCAATAGTCCAATTGCATCTACTACTGATTCTCATACTGATCTTGTTTCTCAGCTTCGCCAGCTCTTCCAATAGTAATCCTCACTTTCCCACATTTCTCTGCTCCTAATACAAGTCTTGCTAATAAAGGTAATTCTGCTTGTGTAGTTGCTCAACCTTCTTTGTCACCTTGGATCATTGATTCAGGAACTAGTGTTCATATATGTAGTAAATCTTCTCTATTTTCTAATTTTTATTCATCTTACTCACGTATTGTGTTAACTAATGGCTCCTTTAGACCAGTTCATGGAACTAACAATCTCCATCCTACTCATTCTATACCATTATCCTCAGGTTTGTTTGTTTTTAATTTTCCTTTTAACTTGTTATCTGTGAATCAGCTAACTAAGTTGTTACAGTATGTTGTAACCTAATTTCTATCATTTTGTGTTTTTTAGGACCTCAAAACGAAAAAAGTAACTGATTTGAGGCATGAGAGCCACGGCCTATACTATTTAGATTCTGGTAGTTCTATTCCTGCCTTGACTACTACTGTGTCCCCCCTTCAGTGGCATTTTTTACTGGGTCATCCCGCATTGCAATAGTTAGGTCAAGTTATTCCCGCTTTGAGTCCCTCCTCTGTGTTAGAATCTGAGACTTATTAATTAGGGAAGCATCACCATAGTTCCCTTCCTCCAAGTTCATTAAACCATCAATCCAGTCTATTTCATGTTGTTCATACAGAGATTTGGTGTCCTACATAAGTCAAAAGTCTTTCTGAATTTCAATATTTTATGATATTTGTTGATTATTTCTCTTGTAGGACTTTGTTATTTCTTATGAAAGACCGGTCTGGATTACTCAAGGTCTTTACCATCTTTTAGAATTAAATTTTGACTCAGTTTGATGTTCGTATTAAGTTCTTCAGTCGAACAATGCCCTTGAATATACTCAATCATTTATAAAAAACTTTTGTGCTGACCGTAGCATTATTTATCAAACCACCTGTCTTTATACCTCCCAACAAAATAGTATTGTCCAAAGTAAGCATTGCCATTTGATGGATGTTATTTGTACCTTAATGTTTAACATGCATGTGCCAAAATTATATTGGGTTGATATTATTGATACGTTAGTTTATTTTATTAATTGCATGTCTTCCTCTTTTTTGGACAACAAATTTCATTTCTCTTTGCTTTATCCTGACACATTGCAATTTGGTCTCACTCATCGTGTCTTCGATTGTGTTGCTTTTGTTCATCTTCTTTGTTTGGGTAAGGATAAACTTTCACTCTGGTCAGTTAAGTATGACTTTTTAGGATATTCTCGTACTTAGAAAGGTTATCACTATTGTGACCATGTTTCTGGGCAATACTATATCAATGTTGATATTACTTTTTTTGAGTCATCTTCTTTCTTTTGTGTCTGGTAATACACTTTTCCCAAATTTAGTCTTTTTCGGTCAGAGGGAACTCTTGTAGACTATTGTACGAGATTGTGTATTTCTTCTTCTCTGAGTCCTACTCCTCCCTTGTAGGTTTATCATCACTCCAAGGACAGACAAGTTGTTCCTTATGCTCCACCCCCACAACCATCACCTAATTCACAGAGGTCCTGGCCCTTAGGCTGTCATCTAGTTCATCATTTTCTACTTTGTCAATTGCATTAAGGAAAAGTACCCATAATTGTACAAAGCATCTCATTTTTAATTTTGTTTCTTTGCATCGGCTTTCACTATCCTTTCCTTGTTTTACATCAACTTTGTCTTCAATATTTGTTCTTAGTTCTTTGAAACAAGCATTGGCATCTACTGGGTACAAACTAGCTATAGATGACAAAATGAAAACCCTTAATGAGAATCAAATATGGGTCCTTACTACTTTTCCTCTTAGTTGGATCTACATCATGAAGTATCATCTTAATAGTTCAGTTGAGCGTTGAAGTCCCATCTAATTGCCAAAGATTAAACCCCGACATATGTTGTGAATTACAGTGAGACTTTCTCTCCTATTGACCGTCTTAACTCTGTGAGAGTTCTTATTTCTATTGCTATGACTTATGATTGGTCTTTGTATCAACTGGACATTAAGAATGTCTTTTTACGGGGAGACTTATTAGAGGAGGTATATATAGTACAACCTCCAGGTTATGTTGTATCTAGTAAGGAACAGCTAGTGTGCCTTCTGAGGAAAGAACTATATGGCCTGAAACAATCACCATGTGTTTGGTTTGATAAGTTCAGTACTGTTGTACTTCAGTATGGTTTTCAGTGTTCTATTTCATACCATTCAATTTTTATTCATCATTCTTCCACAATTGTCATTATTTTATTGTGTTTGTGGACGACATTATCATTACTAGTGATGACTCGAATGGTATTGCTCAATTCAAGGTCCATTTGAGAATATAGTTTCATACCAAAAATTTAGGTATTCTTTGATACTTTCTTGGGATTGAGGTTGCTCGGTCAAAAGAATGTATCAGTTTGTGTCAACAGAAGAATGTATTGGATTTATTATCTAAGACTGGGACTCTCAACTCAAATTACGGTATAATAAATGTATAGATTAATAACTAGGTTAGTAAAAATTAAATAAGAAATAATTCTCCAGTACATAATTTATTTATTCAATTCAATTACACATATAATCTATATTTTTAATAAGTTTAACAAAAAAATATTATTTAAATATGTTCATGTGTATTACTAGTTATTAAAAATGTCAGGATTTTCGTTAAAGCTTTGATTTCTTTCATTCCATGTTCAATCATGTCAAATGCTGAGTGTAAATTTTGTATTTTCAGTATGGTCTAAGGCTATGCCTTTGATGGTGCTCAGTGATGATCAAACAACATGCATCAGGTCTAGGTTTACTTAACAAGTGTAAGAATTTAGAATTCCATGTTTTTACTAGTTTAACAGTTTATGGTAAATACCTTCTGAAAAAAGAAAAAAAAAAGTTTATGGTAAATGCTGATTGCAAGTGTAAATAGAAGAGCTAATACCATACCTTTACTGAGCCAAGCATATCATTTTCTGAATCCCCTTCAGCATTATCAGGTGAACCAGACTGGAGGTTTGAGCGGTCAAGCAATTTCAATATCGCATTTTCATCCCACACAATCTTGGTGCTTCCATCTGTACATTTATCCTTGTACACATCTCCCAGACCACCAGCCCTCTTCTTATGCTTATGTTCCACATCAGTACCTGCTTCATCTTTGTTGCTATGGTTTTCACCTGTATCTTTTTCAGTCATGCTTGAAAAATCACTAAAAAGTTGTTCAGTTCCCCAGCGTAAAATATCTTCCACCTCTTTCTGAGATCCAGACTTGTTCACGAAAAGCTGATCAAGCATCAGTTTCTTCTTTGCAAGCTGCAAGATGCGTTCTTCAACACTAGCACGGACAACAAGCCTGTACACCAAAAGTCTCTTTGATTGTCCAATTCGATGTGCCCTATTCATTGCTTGAATATCTGCATGCGGGTTGAAGTCCGAATCATATATGATAACAGTGTCAGCAGTTGCCAAATTGATCCCAAGGCCACAAGAGCGTGTCGATAATAAGAAGACAAACCGACTTTTGTCTTGGTTAAAACATGCAATTGCTGTTTGGCGATCTGCCACAGAAACAGAACCATCCACTCTCTCAAAGGTTTTGGGCCCAAATTCAATGGTCAAATAGTCCTCAAGAATATCAAGAAGTTTTGTCATCTGTGAGAATATAAGGACTCTATGGCCTTTTTTATGTAACTCCTTAAGCATAGAATGCAGCAGAGTCAGCTTGGCTGATGCTTTTATACGCATTTCATGCAGAAACGCCGTTGAACCAGAATCAGGCTCAGTGCCTGGTATGAGATACGGATGGTTGCAAACCTTTCTTAATTGCATCACAATGTTTAGCATTGACTGCTGGGCAACCCCTTTCCCCATGTTACGCAAAATCTGATAGTTTTTAGTGAGCATCGCGCGGTAGTATTCAGCTTGGATGGATGACAACTCAACAGGAACAATTCGTTCAGTCTTAGGGGGTATATTCTGCATGGCATCTTTCTTAAGCCTCCGAAGCATATGTGGAGCAACAAGTTTCTTCAGTTCTTCTACTTTTTCTGCAGTTGTGAGATCATTAAACTTCTCCTCAAATGAAGACAGAGAAGGGAATGAAGCTGGCTGCAAGAAATTCAGCAAGTTAAACATCTCCCCTATGTTGTTTTGAAGGGGAGTACCAGTCAACAGTACACGATGTTGAAAAGAAAATGTATTGAGCAAGCTAAAAAGCTTACTACTCGAATTCTTCAGACGGTGTCCCTCATCAACCACAAGAACTTCCCAAGGAACTCCACGTAGATGAGAGGAATCAGCAAGGACCATTTCATAAGTAGTCAAAAGAACATTGAATTTATAACAATCTGTTTTCTTATCAAAACCACTTGGATCACTGGCATGCCATTCGTACTGGCGAATTATAGCTCTTGCTTTTGCACACCCATGATACTCCACGACATTCAGCTTAGGAGCCCATAATGCAAACTCAGCCATCCAATTAGGCATAGTCGAAAGAGGAACTAAAACTAAACAAGGCTGCTTGGCTTTAAACTCAAAATATAAAGACGATATGAAAGCACAAGCAGATACCGTTTTACCAAGCCCCATCTCATCAGCAAGTATTACATTTTTTGATCTATGCCAGCATTTACGCAACCAATTCAATGCTTCAAGCTGATGTGGAAACAACGAACCTCCTTGCAGCTCCTTGGGCTGCTCAGTGAGAGTAACTATCTCATTTTGCTGAAAATCAATCTTTCCCCTTTCTATACCATCCTTATTATCATTCTTTTCCAATGTTTGGCATTCAAACTGGTTAAATAAATCAACCAGATGGGACACTTTGGAAATCACCGGTGCATTTATACTTTCCCAAGTGCATTCATCATAAGGAAGACCAGTCCATTTCACAAAAGCTTCAGTAGAACCATCTGTGGAGGAACGAAGAGCAATCAAACGCTGAGGCAGCTTCCACCTTTCCTCACAAATATTTATCACTGCCCTCCCATACTTCGCCTTGTAATTGTCTAGTTTTCTCTTTGCCAGAATTTTCAACTGCGTTTCCGATATCCAACTGTTGTGAATATGAGATTTCCCAACCCACTTAACCAAAAATTCATATGAGACTGTTACTCCATGAGAAGAAGCAGATTCAGCCAAGATGGGATCTTTACTTTGTTTTTCAGGACTACTATCCGTTCTCAAGTCCATATCCACCTCCTTTGTTTCCCCAACTTCATGAGACACAGGGGTTTCACAATTTTTTGAAACTTCACTATCACCATGACTTCTCAAACTAACCTCAGTGTTCTCTTCTGGTGAAATCCTTTCAGCTGCTTTCACCAAGACCTCTGGACTCGCAACAGAGTCATCTTGATTTTTACCTTTTACAGCTATTGAGTTGGAATCCTCAGCAGATCTCCTCTCTAAATTTATGGCATTCCCTTCTCTACATACTTTGGTCACAGATCTTTTGTATACATGTATCTTATGCACTCCCACATCATTCTTAATGTTTTTACCCCCATCAGAATTCCTGACAGTACTATCCTGACCCTTAACAAAGTCACTGGCAGCTTCCCCATCTAACGTCATATCACAGCTTGGATGCCTCTCTGAAAGTTTGTCCCTATTGTCTAGAGTTGGTAAACCATCTGACTGCGGGTCATTTGCATCTGTCAGAGAGATGTGCTTTGAACAGTTCTTTGTATCACCTTGAACTCGACACCCCAGCACCCGATCCACCTGCATTTCAAATGTACATAACAAATTATAATAACAGTGTCATCTCCAAAAAAATCCAAAAGCAAAAAAGTTTAAAAAACAAAAATGGGAGAGCAGAAAGCATATTAGAAAACAAGTACCAAAATGGTACAAGTAACTCTGTAAATCCTATTTTAACCCGATTGATTTTACCTGTTGAAATTCATCAACAACATTTTCTTCGCAATTCAATGATTCAACTACAATTTTTCCTCCCCCATGTAGATCATGTGACATATGTGCTTCTTCATCAGGAGCAATCTGCAGCAAAGAAATATGCATGATAACCACAGGCAACAACAAAATATAATCAATTCAATGGTTTTCAAACACAAATGAAATTTGCAATAGAATAGTAACAATAAAATTTGGATTAAGGGTGATAGTGAATTATGCGACAAATTTATGGCATTGGTGTGTGATGATAAGACAACAAAGGGCACAAACAATAAGAGAAAAAAGAAAATTAAATGACATGGTAACAATCAGGCAGTCTTCTCATATATTTACCTCTTTGTGGAGTGGCCTACAAGTACCTTAGCTCCCTATATTCTAAAGGTAAGCATGTGGTATCAGAATTATTCTATAGGGATCTGTGATAAATTTAGAAATCACAATGAGAATACAGAGTAGTAGCAACCTCTCTCATATCCACTTACATTCTTGCAGCTAACAATCTCTAAACCTCAAAACATGCCCATTTTTTTGTCATCATCAAATATTACAATCAAATTCAAAACATCTGAGCAATTTTTTCCTTTATTACATTGCCGGTGTTATCAGATCAGACCATAAAAACAAGCCCATTCTTTAAGGGTGCTTTTAGTAACATTTTTGTTTTTATGTTTACACAATTTTTGCTTTTTCTGTAGCAAAAACTAAAAAACACAAGACATGTTTGGTAGTTGTTTATTTTTAAAAAATTATGAAAACAAAAATAAAAAGCATATTTGGTATTATACCGAAAACCCACCACCCAACACCACCAAAACCCACCACAACTAACCACCCAAAACCCACCACCCAACCCCCAAAACCCATCACCCAACACCACCAAAATCCACCACCACCAACCACCCAAACCAGCAAAACCCACCACCCAACCCCCAAAAACTCACCACCCAACACTTCGAAAACCCACCCCCCAACACCACCGAAACCCACCACACAACACCCCTACAAAACCCACCACCAAAAAACTGAAAACCCACCACCCAACCACCAAAAACCCACCACCCAACAACAACGAAAAACCCCCACCCAACACCCTTGAAAACCTACCACCCAACCACAAAAAAAAAAAAAAACTGATATAGGCAAGAGAGAAAGTCAAAAAAGAGAGAGACGAGAGAGAGATGGGCCACCAAGAGAGAGAGACAGGCACGAAGTGGGAGATGGGAAAAAGAGGAAGTGAAAGGGAGGGGGTTATACTCATGCAAGAAAACTCATTTTTCTGTTGCTAAGGAAGATTGAAGCCAGGATCTCCTTAAAACCATTGAAGCCCCCACGTGTTTTTGTTTTTTTTGGTGCTTATGAAAACGTCTTTTCTGTGTTTTCATTTTTTGGCCTTGTTTTTAAAAACAAAGTTCCAAAAAAAAACATAAACATATCACAAACACATTTTTATTTTCATTTTTGGCAAAAATTGAAAACAAAAACCGAAAAAAACAAAAACAACGGGTTATCAAACGCAACTTAAGTTTACTAACTAGAAAAAAAAATGATCCGAGATTAACAGTGAATGAAGAAAAGATTTTAACCTCAGAAGCTGAGTACCTGAAAAATTGAAGCAGATATGACTGAGGTCTAGAAATTGAAATTGACAAGAATGAAGATAGTTGCTAGTTAGTGAAACAGACAGAAAAATAGGAATAGAAAAGATTAGAGCTCCTATGCAGCAAATTAATTTCCATGAGAGAAAGGCAAGATTCTTTTACTCGATCAGCGAAAAAGAAACAGTAAAGATCGTGTTCAATACGATTAAAATTTACTACATATCACTAGATAATATTCAAAACATCTATAAGAAAAGCTGCGAAGTTAATTCACGGACAACAATATAAAATTAAATCCTGATCATATTATGGAAATAACGGGTTATCCTATAACATTATCTCCCCTTGACTTACCATACCAAACATCTCCACAAGATTATACTCACGTGTGTGAATCTAGCCTGAATCACTGACCTCTTTCATATGGCTACACAGTATTTCTTAAATGGACAACTAGAATCTTCAACATTTGTGAACTAGAAATATGATTCACCACATAGCATCCCACGTTCACATCCATGTAATGAAAGTTCATATTGAGGATTTTCCACGTCCCTTGTCGATTTTCGAGTGTGTCAGGGGGTTTCTTTCTTTTTGAGGGGTCAATTTTTATTTTATTTTTTTGGTTGGGGAGGGGGAGTTATCTCTTTAAGTACGGTGTGTTGCCTTGCCATCGAAGGTTTCATAAATGCTTTAGTTACACTCATCGCATGATTAGGATCAATCAGAACAACCTCACCTGCCATGGAAAGCACATCTGCTGATGGTTAGGTGGTTAGCGACCATCGCCTTTACATGTTAAAAAAATCATTGTGCTCACGCTGTAACTACTATTTCTTCCACATGTTACCTTTGTTATTCAGGGAAAGAAACGCGGGAGGAAGAAAAGAGAATACACAGCTAATGGACATGAGTCCCTATTTAAAGTGCAATGAATAAGCAATCATTGATGGGGAAGCTTGAAGATTTGCAATCTAATAAAAGAATCATCAGAAAAGGAAAAAACCTAACACAAGAATAGGCTAAAAAGAAGGAAAGCAAGATATGCACCTTGTCTCTAAGCTCAACATGTACACTCTCTGTCCCAACATCCTTCTTTGACAAAGATGCAGAAACCCCAAAGTCCACTGCCTTGCGTTTCTTGTCTGACTTATTAGTTCCCGGGCATGCAGAATCTGATCTTGATGTATGCTTTCTAGAAGCATCTGAAGCACATTTACCCTTATCAGCTTTAGGTTTCTTTTTACTGTTACTGTTATGTACCTTAAGCTTTCTTTTTCTGGATTTCTGGGTGGCAGCACCAAACAAAGGGGCAACATTATTTCCTGGAGATCCATTATTACATGATAAGTCCAACTTCTTTTCAGAAGTTTCTTCATTTGTCTTCAGATCCTTTGTCCTTGATAAAGACAAGACCTCCTCAGCTAGAGAGATTGACTTCTCGTCTGCAGGAGTGTCTGTTGGAGACAATTCAGGTTTCTTCTCAATGTCAGCATCTACATACAACGAACTACCCTCAACAGAACCATCATGCGAAGGAGGACTTGGCTTAGCACTGCAAGATACATCTATGCATGAAGAATCCGGCTTCTTTTCAACAGATTGGGCTTGACAAGACGAGGACAACTTCCCTTTTCCTGATGATCTTTTCTTTCCAAGAATGGGGCTTCCAAAAATAGGGGACACATTGTCAGCGCTACACGATTTATTTACACTTTTAGATTTTCCAATGATAATTTTTGTTCTTGCTCGCTTTGAGATTTGATCCAAATGGTTCATTGGCTCACGCGAATCACCTTTTGTACAACAGTTTGGACATTGCCACTTGCCCGTTGGAATACGCTTGAGGTGATGAATTGAAAAAGAACATCATAAGAAAATGACAAGCATTCAATACTACTGTTAAAACATACAAGACATAAAATGATCCGAAACACTAGCAATATTGCAAGAATTAAACTAAACACACCTTCAGAGGAGGATCTAGACACTGAAGATGATAGGTTCGGGGACAGCTATCACAACACAGCAAGTTTCCTCCAAGATCACAGATAACGCATTCATAATAATACTGGAGGACAGAAGACATAAGCACATCAGAGGTCACAAGCAGTTTGTAAATACTTCCACTACTGTCAAGATAGCACTATTCAGACATAGGTATCAAATTGTTTTCAGTTATCATCATTGTTTGAACAACAGTGGACTGAGAAACAGCCACAGTGAAAAATAACAAATATATTTACTAGGAAACGACTGAAATGATAACAACCACAAAAGACAACAGAATATATTAAGAAAGGGAGTGATTTGGAGGAATGGCCATAATCGTTCCACCATAATGCATATACACTACTTCTATTATGACAATCTTTGGTTTCCTGTTTAGGGGACCACATCTTTTTTATGTATTTCTAATTGCATCACTGGTCCATTTCTCTTTCTCAAACGGAAAAACACTCACCCCATCATTTCCTTTCTTTTTGCTGGAAGTACGTTCAAAAGTTGTTTGAATTTTCAGCCTGCGCACTGATGAAGTATTTGCTGGAGATTCTGAGGGTTTAGATTTACTTTCTCTGCCACTGGACATATCCGAACCACATGGAAGCTTTCTGCGCTTGCGCTTCAGGACCCAGTTTTTGTTTAGCATTTTACTAGTTCCTGGATTGTTGTCCTTCATCTTTGAATCCTGGCTCCTACATAGTCGGGACAGCAAGAATGGAATGAGTCAATGAAGAACTCAAGGTATTAAATTCTCCACATTTGCTCCTACAATAATTTCATTCCCAGAATAATAAAGATAGACAATTAATGGAGACTAGCCTACAGAAAAGGAGAGAAAGAAAAAAATAGAAAAATAACACCTACTAAAATTAGACCTCGGGTCACGATTTTTAATTCGCTTATCCTGTACAATCCTGAATACGTTAGGTTATGCAATCTAAACTCATGGAAACACGCCTCATTAATGCATGGATGTGTCATACTTTAAGCAGACTTTCCATAAAACCTTGTTATATGCCTTAATCTCAATTTGTAGGATCCCCACCGCTATGCGACACAAGAAGGAAAATGCCAACATTTACTATCAAAGGTACTAAAGTTGTCGTGCTGTAGTGGTTATCGGGCATAATTAGAAATCATGTAAGCCCTGCCCACGCAAGTGCAAATCCTCTCGTCTAGAGTTTGGCTTTTTAATTTTTTATTTTCTTTCTTTCCCCTTTTTCTTTTTCTTTTTCTTTTTATTTACTTGTAAAAGGTTTAGATAAATGCTAGCCAACAAAATGATAATTCAGATGTCCGAAAAAAATCATCAAAGTTTGCGTTCTTCATAAAAGAATTCAATACATGGTGTTCATGACTGGCAAAGGTTTGCCACAAAAGACTGCACATGAGCATCGTTAGAGAACTACGAATCCCAAAAAAGGAAAATAAACCACCCAAAAAATATGCATGCACCTTCTTATAATCATGAATCCCATGCAGTTTTTCACAAAGAGCTGTAAGAGTCACTGCTGTTGCAAATTCAACAAAAATGGATGCTTCATACACAAAAGGTTAACTCATGCAGCACTAACCAACAACAATGATCCTTCCTATTCAAACTTCAAATAGATGGCACACAGTCCACACTTCACAGACCGGAACTTGAAGTACTTGAATGAGAAGCCACTTAAACAAACATAACCAATAGGTAGGCAGTCCAGATAGTCATGGATCAAAAGCATTGGAATAACTATTTTGATTCCAAACTCAATTTAAAGGTCAAAAATACAGGCTAATACTTACAAGTGAAAAACAGTGATTTCAGAAGCAACCAGAAGGTTTTTTCCTCTAAGGATGACAAGTAGTTCATGAAACCACTGATTGTCGTGTCATCAAAAGAACTTGAACAAGAATGCCAGCTAGAAGTTTAAAAATAGGAATGGAAAACCATGTTGCCAAAAAACTTAATATTTTGCATTAGTGAAGACATCAAAAAACAAGTCCACCACCTACATGGAAAGAAACCATTTCAATAAGTTGCTTAGCAGAATGTTTATCAAATGATAGATCACTAAGAAACACAATGAAACTGAAACTTCAAATTCATCTCTGAGTCCATATTTAAGGATGGCTTCAAGCATAACATGCTGGCAGAATTGTCAATCAATAATTCTAACATTGATTTGTGGAAGTATCACGTAAGATCATCATCCATTTACCACTTAAAACATTACTAAATTGCTACTTCAAGACTAAAACAAATACAAAGCATGCAATATCCAAAACCCAGCTGCAAGGATAAAACCTCATCACCAAAAACCAAAACAGTGAAACAAGCTGATTTATAAGAAAAGTAATGACCAAATGTCTTAAAAATCACCACATGCAATGGTAAGTTGATCCATCAAAGCACCATAATTTCAGCAACTACAAAGTGCATACATTCAACCCCTGGTAAACCCAAAACCTCAATTCAGTAACACCTCATCACACCACCACTCCAAAACCCAGTTATCAAACCAACCAAAAGAATGACCTTTTTAACCCAATTGAAGCTAAAACCATAACATTCAGAACAATTAAGCAGTACCCACATGACAATGAACATGAAAGCACATAAGAATCAGCTCAAATTGCATGAAATTTGAACACCCACAAAAAATCTACCAATAAACAAGTACGAACAAACAGAAAAAACAGTACCCAGATAGAAATAAGCACATACCAATCTTGCCAATGAATCAAACTATACGAAACACACAGAAATCATCAAGAAACCAACCACTTACGATTGATAGTTCTAGAGAGTGTATCGGGAGATAGAGGGATTAGGGTATGGAGCACAAAGAGATGAGAGATACGAGGATGAAGAGAGAGAAAGCGGGGAGACAAATGAAATAAATAGAGAGAGAGAGAGAGGGACGTTTAGAGAGCGAGGGGCGTTTAGAGAGAGAGCATAATATACGGATTCGCCGGGGTCATAGGACTTGGGGTTACACAACACAACACTGACATGGCAGCAGGGTTGTGTGTTGTTGTGAAGAGAGCCCCAGGTACCCACCAGTGGCATCTCTCCACGTGGCACCTCCAGGACGCCTGTCCCCATCTCCCTCTCTCCTCTTCTCTCCCTCTCTCTCCTCTCTGTCCTCACGCTTCCCAATTTTTTTCCTTTTCTTTTTCTTCATTCATTCCCTTTTCTGTGTTGTAGAGAGAGAAACGGTAGAGATTGTGGATGTGTGTTTGATCTTTCTTTCTCTCTCTTTTAAAGTCTTTATAATTTCTCATAATCGCTGCCATCAAGTGCTCGCTTGTTGGCTTTGATAGATCTTCATAGAGAGTTGTTTCTCTTTTGCAATGTGCAGCCTTTCCGCTTTCTCTTTTCTTTATTTATTAATAAAAAAAAATAGGGAACAATCACAACAGTTTATTACCTTGTCAAAATTTGAAACTAAATAATTTCAGTTTGAATTGAATTCACGTCAAGTAACGATTCAAAGTTAATTGATGAAGTCAAGTTTCACCTTAAAATAACTTTATTTTATCGTAAAACACATTAAATTAATTTGCAATCTCACCTTTTTATTCATTACTTTCACTACAATTTTAAAAAATAATTATATGATACCATAATCTTTCCAAAAAAAAAAACATAAGCATTGATAAAGAAATATCCATGCAAGGTAGGGATCTATCATGCAGTCTCACTGTTGGAATGGTGTTATGAGTTGCTTTTTTTTATTTTTTCCACATTGGATGTGGGCATAAACACTTCCCTGGAATTTAAATGAATTTACCCATAAGGAGTAATATAGTGGTAAATTCATAAAAAAGAAGGTTGTACAAAAAGAGGGTGAGGGCTAAATGAATAGATTTTGTTACTTGTGATGGGATACTTTGGGAAGATTGACAGTTGATTGTGATGGGTGGGTTTTTTCCATGAAAAAACTAAGAATTGTTATTATGGAATAGATCAAACTTACATGCTTTTGCCTAGTTAAGAAATAAAATTACATCTTTCTAGTGAATAATAATCATATTTTTCAGCATATTCATGAAATATGGGAATCAAGTAAGCTATTGGACCTGCATTACCATTTTGCTATTTTTTTTTTTTATTAGAACCATTTTGCTAGTTAGTTATGTTGTTTTCTATAATTTTCTTTAGGAAGTGGTTCAAAGAAATAGATTTAACTAATCTGCTTCTTAAGGATAGGCTTAAAAGTCGAATTAACCAACTTATAATGGTATCATCAATAACCTGGTCAAATCCATTCACTATTTTTTAATGGTAATACGTTCAATATATAGAACTGAGAATATGTTTGATGTATACGAAACTATTTTGACAATGTGATTAAGAGGTACTCCCTTCTATATAAAAGGGAAGACATTAACCATCACTCTGCAATAAAAAGGATTAAAATTAGTTTGATTCATGTTGGATTCTATAGCACAACGTGAGAATTCATAAAATTAAGGTTAAGAAGTTTTCGTATGATAAGGAAAAACTATGTGTAGAGATATGAAATGCATGGAACATAAATGGTAATGTAAGAGTGAGTGAAAAAGGGATCAGAGTAGCAACTAAGAGAAAGGGGCTGAGAAAGAGATGATATGTTGGTTGACATAAATATGAATCCATTAGGGATAAAATGTATCTCACAAAGGGTAGAAAGCGTTAACATGAGTGTGTGGGTGTGCATGTGAGCGTTAGAGGGAGGAGTAACCAAAAAAATGATGAAAGAGGAGACAAAGATTGAACATTAAAAACTTGTAAGATTTGAAAAAGAAAATTTATTTCGACTATTGTTTTTGCCTTGTAGTAGCATGAAAGTTGTTTTCATGCAGATAAAAGTGGGTAGCCTCTCCGTCATACAAAAAGTGAAAATGTCAATCAAGATAGTTTAATATTTTTTGCACCAATGGTTTGTCAAGGTCTCTAAGGTGATTGTTTTATAGGAATATCATGTTTTCGGCATCAAGTCCATTGGCTTCATTGTCTTCTACTTCTGCATTTATCCTATTATGACATTTTTATTTCCATGTAAAAATTGTACATAACAAACCATAATTACGCCAAAGCTATTTAAGCTCTTACTAAAAAACAAAAGTATGTATCACTAAAGTAAGTTATCATCTTTAACAAATGGGTTTTGATTAGTATTAATATAACTAATTTTTTTTCTTGTCAAATAGAAACAAGTCAATAGATCAATAGTGGAGACCTGATAAGTGATATTGATGTGAGTCAGTCGTCATATATAAATGACAACAATTAGGGAAACTGATTATGGTAATATTGAAGGTGCTAGCTAACCTAGTTAGTAGAGTTTTTTAGGTACTACTAGTTGGTACACACGTGCGTTGCACGTGTACTATTTTAGATTATAGTTTTGTATTTCATTTATTCAAAAGATGTGTAACAAAGATAATTCAAAATATATAATTCATTAGTAAATGACCTAAACCTGAAAGCAAAATGTGTTACAAATTACAAAACCAGTGTTCTAGCAGTTGTTGTGGTGCATTGGAGGTAGGAACAACAAGTGTTAATTCTCATCCAGTAAATTCTAACTAATAAAGATAGGATGGTCAGTCGCACCTACAAGAGGTATGCATTACAATACAAGCAATTCGTGGGAAAAACTCTAGAATTTTTGAATAATGTCTCAATGAAAAAACAAAGCCATGTGTCATGTATGTAGATTCTTGATATCTCATATTAATATTTTAGGAAGGTGTAAAGTTCAAATTATTTGAAACAAAATGAGTTCATTCAATCAGAAGACATAACAAAGATTAATAATTGAACACAATGTTCTATATAGTTAGATTGTTTAAATGAATTAATCAATTGTTACAATATCAAAAGACAATTCTTTTCATCCAACACCGAAATATATGTAATTCAATCATTTAGGCCCTAGCAATAAGGAAATGCAATCCCTTTGAGAAGGATCCAAAGTTGTTCAGATATTCATATCTATCAATAAAATATTACCATAAAAACTAATGAGTTTTTATTGATGCTCTTAATTCATGAATATTTGAGTATAATAAGTCAGTAGTTTTGAATAGTTGATTGTTATCATTGTTTAGATATACTTATTAGTTCATTATTTATAGAATCTTGTGACACTCAAGTTTGTTGCCTTTGACCTTTTTCTGGCAGTCATTATTTGTTATGGATCTTTTAAGTTGAAACACACCAAACTACTATGAAATTTGAGGATATAATTGTAGCAAATAATATTATATCCACGCAAGATCGCATGAAAGCCCTACTTGTCCTTCATAATTATATAGATGAAGGACTGAGAAACGAATATCTCATGGTAAAGAATCTGCAAGATATTTGGGATAATTTGAAAGAAATATATGACCATTAGAAAACTGTTACATTGTTAATTGCCTATAACGAATGGTTGCGCCTAATGTTGTAAGACTTTAAAAGTATAAGCGAGTATAACTCCACTTTATTCAGAATCAACTCACGATTAAATTTATGTAGAGAAATAATTACTAATAAACAAATGTTAGAAAAAAAAATATTTTTCATGTTGCATGCATGTAATATGATCCTATAACATCAATATAGAGAGAGCAAAGATTCATAAAATATTACGAGTTGATCTCATGCTTTCTTTTGACCTAGTAAAATAACAAGCTATTAATAAAAAATCACCACTCTCGCCTGATTTGATCTAGAGCATTCCTTGAAGTGACTGTTACCTTATATTGTCGTCAGGTTCGAGGTCGGGGTCATAGTCATGGTTGTGACCATGGTTATAGACGAATTACTTGGCATCATAAGGGTTTTACAAACCCACTTTACCACCTAAATTGGGCAAACAAAGAGGTAAAACTAGACAAAGGGGAGGGTTTGTAGAATAAACCTTCCAAAGTTCACGAAGAAGTTTGCTAGAGGCACAGAATGAAAGAGTATTGGTCACGTACTTATCGTACAACCAAACATCTAGAGGATCTTTACCATTCATTAATGAAGGAGGAGGGAAAGAGTGTGGGACCAAACCATGCATTGCATAACGTTTTATATAATGTTAGGGTCTAATGTGTAATTTATGATACTTACTTTGGGGGTTAAATTATAATTATTGAAATTATGGGATGTTAGATAATGGTTAAAATTATAAACCTTGGGGGTTCAATGTTATGATGGAATTGTGAATGAGACAAAATAATTAAAGGAAAAAATATTTTGGATGCAATTCGTAAAGTGATGGAAAAGATGTAGTGGTTGTGTGTGCGAATGAAAGAAACTAAAAGGGACATAAATATAGTTAGTCGAGATGGTGAGTCAGCTTGGACAAGTGTCTTACCAAGCTTCCTCCTTTCTTTTGTTGTGTAGAATCAATACATGTAGATATATATATATATATGTGTGTGTGTGTGTGTGTTGGGTGGTATGTGTGAGTATATGTAAGGTTTTACAGAGGAAAAAGGAAAAAAGAGAAAAGAAGGAGAAGAGGGAGAAGGAGGAGTGAAACGCAAAAACTAAAAAGAAGAGAAAGTTTGCCAAAGTTTTTATGCTTTGGATTTTCGATGGTGTAAATTGAAGGTTTCCTTTATATAGGTAATTTAGCTATCTTGGTTAATTAGACAAAGTTATTAATTTTTGATTTGTGTTTTTTGAGCAATAGGTAAGTGTTTGGTTATGATTTGCATGAAATTGAAGGGTAAGTTTGTTGGTATACGTGTTTAAAGGATTTGGGATAAGAGGGAAGTAGTTGTAGAAGAGTATGTAATTGAAATGGAAAAAAAAACCTAGGATTGTATCAGTATAAAAGATTGATGAACCAGTACAAAGAGACTGAACTAGTACAAAAACCTGTCTATTAGCGATGAACCGGTGCAAAGATGAGTTATGTCAATGGAACTAGTGCAACTTGTACCAATACAATAGGATATTTTCTCTAATTTTGTTGTAATGTTTTCGAATTGATTTTCACTCAATCTCAAATCTTTATGAAAGCATCCTAATGGGTTTTAATCAT